CAAATTCAACCACTCTCACTTCATTTAACATAGTAGCCTTTAGAAGCACTGGCTGCCTTCCCAGTCTTTAAACCACCGTTCCCGCCTCAAGGACTCCATCCTCATTTTGTCCTTGCTGTTCCTTCAGTGTAGAATGTTCTTCCACCTGAATTTTCAGCGGCAGACTTTTTCCTGTTCTTCATAACTCAGTTTAAATGTCACCTCTTTAAAGAGATGTTCCTTAACCACTGGATCTTAAATAGCCACCTTATCACTTTCTCTCAATCAAAATGACTTTAAGTCTCTGCATATCACCATTTGCTGTTTTCTTATTTTGTTGTGTATAACCTACCTCTCCTATTAAAATGTAAGTTCTATGAGAGCAGAAATTTGCCTTACTGCCTATTTTATTTCCTAGTGCCTAGAACAGTGCCTGGTGCATGGGAGACACTTCATAAATATTTCTTGATTGCATGTATATCTTGCTTTTGTTTGCTTCTGTTTTCAGGACTGAGACCAGATGGTCTAGATGCTGCAGTCCAACTGAGAAATGCATAGTGCTCTCTCTGCTGTCATTTGCTGCAAAACAGCCCTTAGCTGCTATCTTCTATGGAACATCTGGTTCAATAGCAGATTCCTAACGCCAGCTTTAGATAAGGGCTTAATAGTGACAAAGAAATTCCTTGTCTTTTCCCTGAGAAGCCGCTAGGGTATGAAAGATACCACAGCTTAGGGCTTTGGTGACTGACCAGGCAACAACGTGTTTGATTTTTAGGCAAAAATGCCTACCTCTAATCAATCCAAGCAAATGTTTTCACCTTCAAAATGGTGACCTCAGAGGCTGAATCTTTTCCTAACTGTACTGCCAAGGCTTCAGACAGTCGTGGAAATCTTGCTAGAGTTAATATCCCGTGCCTCAACTCACATGTAGCTAACTCTAAATTGGCACCCAACATCTAGTGCTCACTCTATGCAAGGTAGGGATGTAATCATTTACATTTTACAAGTGGGAAACTGAGTCTCAAAGAAGTTAAAGGATTTTGTCTGGATCTGATGACCTTGATCAAGACCTACTCTTATTCGTGAATACATTCAAGTGTTTGAAAGTGTGTCCAGTTTTCAGAAACCACCAAATGTCACTTACATCTAAGTAGAGCAAATCAAGTAGATTCTCAAGGCTAATATCATTTTCAATTAGTAAATCCCTTGAAGATCTAGAAGGGGCCTCAGAAATTATACCAGCTGAAGATAAAACTTTAGAAATGTACTCAAGATTTCACTCTTTGGTTTTTTTGTTTTAGGCAGATCCATTTCATGCTAGCCAGAACCCTATCCCAACCTCAGCAACACACATTTGGCACACAGAAGAGACAGAACCGAGGCCTAGCTACTCAAATCTCTGTCTCTTCTGCTGAAATGGCTTAAAGATATCAATTGGCTGTGTTCACAATCACAAAGATGTGGAATAAATCCAAGTGTTGATCAATTCATGAGTAGACTAACAAAATGTGGTATGTATGTACATACACACACATTATGGGGTTCTATTCAGCTATTAAAAAGGGACTCAATTTGTTTTGTATCAATCTCGATGCTACTTGAGATCATTCTCCTTAGTGAAGTATAGCAAGAATGGAAAGATGCGCCAAACACCACATGCACTCACTATTAAATTGGCACTAACTGAACAGCACTCATGTGCACAGATAGAAGTAAACCTGGAAACAGAAGTGGGGCAGGAGGGAGGGGAAGTAGCAGAGGCGTGAAATCAAACCTAGTGTGTACAGTGTACACTGTTTGGTGGTGGGCACATTTGTTACTTTGTCTTAAGCAATACAAAAGTCACCCATGTAACCTAAATATTTGTACCCCTGTCATCTTCTGAAAAAAGAATAAACAAACCAGCTGTGTTAGCATATTTCAAGAGAGAAGCTTCTTCTATTTTTACATCCATGAAAAACAAAGGAAGAGGGGATGAATCTCTAGGCTTTAAAAAATTGTATCAGTCCGTTAGAAAACATCCTAGATAATTACTATATCAGAGGTGCATAAGGACCTGCAGAAGCCAGTCATTTCCTCTGGTGGCTTTATGCTGTGGAGAGTTGGCATCTGCACCATTCATAACTGTAGTACACAGATTGGCACAGGGCAGAGCCCCACAGTGCGCTGTTCCAGGTAGTCCAGATGTCTTGAAGGGAGGCTGTCTCTCACCAAGTAAACACACTGCCTATTTTCCTGTCACTTTCCCCGTTGAATAACTAGCTATTTGGTATCCGGAATAATTCTTGATTAATAGGCTAGTCCTTTTAAAAGGAGCATCTCAACTGTGCTCCAAAGGAAGCAGTTTTTCAAAACACATTCTCCCAAAGTATTTTTTTATCCCCTTTTCTCAATTATGAGGTGGTCTTGGGCTGCCACATGTTGACTCAGAGGTGAGGGAAGGTGTTGGTGGCCGCTGTCTTGGGGAAGGTAGAAAGGGAGAAGGAAAAATGACTAGACCAGTGTTTTTCAACCTTTTTCTTTTATCTTGTGGCACTTGAACCTACAGTTAAACTTGTAAGGCATGCTTAAATCATGTTGATCAAAAGGAAGAGTACAAAAAGGAATATACTCATTGTGCTTTGAACTTCTTTCGAAAATAATGTAATTAATGATCTTTAACATTTTTCACAGCACACTGTAGCTCCTCTCGTGGCATACCAGTTGAAAATCACTGGACTAGACATGTGAGAGGGCTTTGTTACCATCATTAGGAATCCAAAGGAGGATAAAAGACACTGGGGAAGGAAGAGGACAGTGTCAGCCATGAAGTCACAGAGGAATCAGTACTTATGGGAATGCTTGTCCAGCTTTGCTTTGGCTATAAACACAATGGCTATAAAATTTATCCATTCAACAAGTGTTTATGTTCCTTGTACATCCAGGACACTGTTCTAGGTATTTGGGATCCATCAGTGAAAAATAAAAATAAAACAAAGATCCCCTCCTGTGTGGAACTTGCATTCCAGCAAGGGATTCAGACAAACACTAAAGATAAGAATAAATTATATAGAGTGCTAGTGCATGATAAGCACTATGCAAATGAGGAAAACTACAACAGTTAATAGGGACTCAGAGTCCAGGGCCTGAGAGCCCTGCAGTTTTAAATAGGCCTTTCAGAGGTATCATTTTTTGGAAGAGTATTTGTGCACAGACTTTGACAGGGGGAAGGAGCTGGTCATGCAGAGGTCTGAAGGAAGGACATTCAAGGCTGAGGGAACAACTGTGCAAAGAGCCTGCAGTGGGAAGATACCTGCAGCGTGGCTGAGCCCGCCCAGTGTGCACTTTCTTAAGCCAGTTGGGTCGGGGAAGAAATGGGGGCCAGGAGGTGCATGGGAATAGATTAGGCCAGGCCCTTGGTCATCGTAGGAATGGGACTCTAGCTTGAAAGAGAACAGAGACTTTTTGCAGAGTTTGGATCAGACAAGTAACCTTATCTGACTCACGTTTAAAAAAAATCCCTTTGTCTGCTACATTGAGAATAGATTATGGCACAAAACGAAAAGATTTCTCTTTTTTAAACATGTTGCCTTATATGACAGGGTTGCTATGAGACTCAAATGCAAAAATGCCTTAAAAATCATAAAGCACAGTGCAGACCCAAACGACAATTATTTCACACAAATAATAGGGGGTTCAAAACCAAGGTCCCTCTTGCCTCCCCTGGTCCATGGTTAGTAGCCATGTTCGTTCAATTAGACTACTCCGTCTCTGGAAGCTAAAAGAAAATTGATTCTGTTTGTTAAAAAAATGTAATTTTATGCTTTAGTTTTAAATCATTTAGATTTTGCAGATTGCTACTTACTTTATGTTTAGTTTTTGAAAGAAATGTGTGTGTGTCTGTGTGTGTGTGTGTTTAAGAACATGTAAGTGCTAGGCATGAATACTGAACATTTTAAATTTAACAACCGATCAGGATAGGGGAGAAGTGTGGGAACTTTAAACCTATTTCCTTTTCCTTAGTCCCCTCGGAGAGCTAGACTGGAGCACTGGCTAGATCTTCTAACATTTCGGGGGTGATGTCTGTTCTTTGCGGTGGCCCTGCTACCAGGTGAACCCCGCTGGGTGAGAGAGCACACACTTTGTGTGGCCAGCTGACCTTCACAGAGTCGGGGGTTGGGGGGGGGGATTTTAAAAGGATTTTGGAGAAGAGGCCTTGAGACTCCAGGAGAAAGAAGAAAAGGGGGCCCAAAAAAGCCTGAGCCTCCTGGGAGATAGAACTGAGTTAATGAACGAGGGTGATTATCCAAGGTAATTATGTAAAAGAGAAGACTAGGAGTTCTAAATGGCTGCAACTTGGAGTTTACTCTGCCTAAGGTGAGCGTTTATGTTTCTGTGTTTTTGTTTCTCTGGCAAGGTTTTGTTTTTGTTTTTTTCTTTCCCTTCTTCACTGCTGCTCAGTTGCAAAAGCAGCTCTCTCTGCCTGCCAGTCCCGATTCTCATCCCATCTCTTCCCTTGGCTTCCCAGCCCTGTTCAAATTCGCCTCGGCGCCACTGGCTCCTGGGACCCTCCGCTCCATCCCCCTCTGGGAAGGAGCGGCTGTGCCGTCCCCGGTTCTCCCTCCCCCCAATCTCCTTTAGGTGCTGCTGTCCAGAGACACACCTTCCCAACCAGCCGGTCACGTTTCACCCCAGTGGTGTGGAGAAGCAGGGGCAACTCTGCGCTCTCCAAATGAGCCCGCCGCGCTGGGCATCTCCCTTCCCTTCCCCTAAACCATCCAGTCTCAGTCATCCCTGCTCCTTCCCCAGCCTAGTTTTGTTTACAGAACCAACCAGGGCTTTGGGCAACCTGCAGTGGCTGGGCTCTCCTTTGGTTTGGGGAGGGAGGGGGTAGCGTTCATGGTCTTCCAGTGTGCAGTAGGCTGTTAGACCCGATCTTTCCGATCGGGAGGCACAAGCAACGGGTGACAGGAAAGTGCCCCCTCCCCCCGGGCGGGTGGGGGTGGGGAGAGGAGCAGGGACTCAGCTTGGGGAAGGAGGCTGGGAGGCAGCTGCAGTGCTGCAAGGGGTGCGTGCGCGTGTGCCCGCCGCCTCCCGGCTCCGTCTGCGCTCCGTGCGCTGGGCACAGGGGCCGGAGGGTCGGAGCCGGAGCGGCGCCGGTGGCCCAGGCCTCGCTTCCCGTGGGCGCCCGGCTGCCCTGTGTCCAGAGTGCACGGGTAGGGTGCAAGACCCGGGCTGCGCTGCCGCTCCTACTGCTTAAGCCCTGCCTGTCTCCCTTTCCATTGAGTTTTGCTGCCGAGGGTGCCCATCAATGGTCCTGCCCAGGGATGCACACGCAGCTCTTGGCCGGAGGGGGGTAGCAGCCGCCACCTCCAGGTGCAGGCTCTGCTGCTGCTGCCACCCGCTGTCACTGCCACTCGAGCCCCAGGCGCGCTGAGGTCCTGGCCATGGGGCTGCAGTTGCTGGCGTGAGAAGGGGCGACAGAATTGCCGCTCTCAGGGTCCCCCGCTGCCTGCATGGATGTCTTCAGCTTTGTGAAGATTGCAAAGCTCTCAAGGTAGGGGCTGCTCGGGTTCTATTGGCACCCAGGGCCGCTGCCGTGGGCAACTTGGTACCTTATTTGCGGGGAGGTTGGGGAAAAGCAAAAGCTGGAGAGAGCAGTGGTGCTTAAGATGGGAGCAAGGTGGCCAGGGGGTCTGCCTCCTTCAACTTTGTTTCTCACTGGCTTGCGGGGCTTATGTATCCATGGTTGTAGACCACACAGAAGGAGTATACACACACCCTCAGGAACGCACCAATATTCATGACAGTTTGTTTTCCCTAAGGAAAAGCTCCAGTCGTGCTTGGGGTCAAGTGTATAATTCAGGACTAAGAGAGGATGGTTACAATTGTTACTGCTAAGGAAAGCCAAAAGTGCTTAGAACTTGGGTGCATGTCTTCCAAGCAGCAGCAAGCCAAAGTGCTTCCTTTCCCCCACCCCTAAATTAGACCTCCACACCCCTGGCAAGTCAGCTTCTAGGTTAACCCAGGTGTTCTCAGCAGTGACCTAGTTGGTGAAGTCATGGAGATTAAAAAGGAAGAATTCTTAGGGTAACTATATACATTCTTAAGCCTTGAAAGATTTAGATATTTGCTTGCAAGTGGCTATGTTGTTAAAACTAAAAATCATCAGTTCGGGCTGATTTCTTGGGCAGCGCTGATAGAGGAGGCATATTTCTACTTTGGGACCACCTAGGTGTTACCTGGTCGGAGCATTGCCTCCTGATTCTTCTGCCCTGCTTGAGCTTCCAAAGTCTTCTTTCAACCCAGGAAGTAAGGTCTGTGCCTTTTGCAGTGTGGCATTAACTAGGAAGAGCCAGAGAGGAGAGGTTTTAGAAAACCGTGCCTAATCTGCTCCTGGAGCTCTAGACCTACCAGGCAGACAGTGGGATTTTTCCAGGATGCAGCTGAAAGACTCACATGCAGTATGGAGAGGATAATTCTAGGTTTTCTTTCAGTCCTTAGTGTCAGAGTAAGATGTGTTGATTGCATCAGGCAAGATTGAGTAGCCTGAAGCAGAAATGTATGTCCACTTTGCTTTGCTAACCGTTTGGGCCACTTCAGAAATGGTCCGTTTGGATGTTGTCATCCTCTCCAACATCCACAGGTCTTTGTTTATTCTTCCTGCTCATCTCCACCTCCCCTCACTACTCACATGGGCTGTTCTTCATGTCACAAGCAGATTTCCCCAGGGAAAGGGGACCAGTGTAACTTAGAACTAGTCTGCGCAGAGCAGAAATATACAGTCAATGAGTAAATACCTCTGTTTTAGAGCAGACTATAAAGAGGTGTTGCCCTGCAGGTCAGAAGACTGATGTGTTAAGTAGTAGATAATTACAGTGTGGCAGAATATTTGCTTTCATACTGTTCTCATAGAGGGCCATGACTTGACGCCACTATTCTATTAACTTCCTGCATGCTTCTGCCTATGGCTAGTTTATAAACAGCTGTCAAATAATGAACCATGGTTGGGAAACAGCTGTGGATGACTTTAGAGGTTGCATGGTGCCCTCTGTGTGATGGATACAGACATTGCTAAAGGGAAAGAGAACTTCAACCAATAGCATAGCTTCAAGTAACCAAGATAGTTTCAGCTGCCTCAAATGTTAAAACCAAAAGGATTAACAAAATATCTGGAGCCTCAGTTTAGTCCTTAAACTTTGGAGCTTTGGAGATAACAGTGCTATGTGTCAGTGAAAAGATGCTTTAGACTCATTTCACTAAATTCTAGGATGCCTACGTGATATTCACACCCCAAGCCAGGATGTGGGGGGATTTGTATCTTATTTTAAACAGAGTTTAAAATTTAGTAAATGAGTGTGACTTTCACTTTCTATCCTTAATGTGATCCGATGGAGTGTTTATTCTAAAGAGAGAAGGTGCACATATTCTGAGCTAATGTGTCGACTAAAAAATCTATCCAAAGAAGTTTTTCTTTTTCCTCAGTATGAGCACAAGGATGGTCCCCGGGTTCTTTTTGTGGGTCATCAGAAAGCAAAAATGTGTTTGTAGCTGTTTGTTTTTGCCCTTGAGGGAAGAAAGTCTTGTGCATGTGTTTTAAACACTGTTACAGAAATCAAGTTCTTTTCTCAAAGGTGAAGTATAAAAGTGCTTACACTGCAGGATTTCCCTGATTTCAGAAGGGATAATCTTCCTAAAGGATTTAGCTTTGATCAGCGTCGTTACTTGAGTGCTTAAAATTCTCTTGGTTTAGAGGCAAGGACACGCAGTTACCCCAGGTCTTTGCTTTGCCTTTGGTTTTCCAAACTTGAGTTTCCAAACGGCAATTCAGAAAGTATTTGCTGTAACTGATAATTGCTAAGTGTCTATCTGTGAGTAAAGACAGTGGTAATTACAGAGAATTCCAAGAGAATATTAATCCACACTGGAATTAATAAATTGCATTTTTTGACTTTTCAAAGTACTTACATTTAACCAGTTGTTCCCAGAATCTATGTCCTGTGAATCGTGTGAAAAATCAGACTTCAAATTGTTCCTTTAGAGCCCAGTACTCTCATATGATCATCATTTTTAAAAAAAATGTTGCCAAGTGTTGGAATAGCTGGCACCATAGTTGGGACCCTTTCTATCATCTATTTGAGTTATGACCCTCGATTGCATCCATTGTGGGTGGCACACCGTGTCATGGTTCTATCTGGAGATGTTTTTTCCTGTTCTTCTAATTTTCTGCTTATTAAACTGCTTGATAGTTTACATGCAGTTTTACTTCACTGTTTCCTTGGTAACAATTCTATATCATTTTCCATCCTTGTAGATGAGTGCATTACAGATGATTACTTTATAAACCAGTAATAGTATAAAAACAAGCATATATTTTTATTGTTACTGCTCTTTGTATTGACTATTTCATTCGTAAAGCAGATATACTTTTCCAAATGTTTATAGAAGAATGTAGTCCAGTAGAAAAACATATGATTATGCCCCCTTTGCCTGAGGGAGGTGATTTGAAACTCAAAACTCATAGGGGTGTTATTAAACTGAGCAATGTATCCATGGATTGAGTGCTTGACTTCAATTTTTTTTTCCTTTCAGCAAGATAGCAGACTTTGAGGTAATGATTGAGTACCAATTGTTGATATAAAGATTTTTGCTTATAGTAGTAGATAAATTTGGGGGCATGCTTTATTTTGCATTGTCTTATAGTTGCATAGCTTATTTTGTGGCTTATAGAAGTGATTAATATCTGCCATAATAAAGTATGCTAATTTCATTACTAGCATCTTATATTTGAGGAAAAACCAAAAAACACGTCTTTATAGTTTTCTTACATTTTTATGTAAAATCTATTTAGATATTACTAAACTTCTGTTCTTTACCTTATTCAGAATTAAATATTTCTCAGGGAAAAGGGAAAGTTAAAAAAGACATGTAAAAGGTCAGAGTTTTCCCCTATCTACTATTTTCACTGAATGATTGCATTAATATTGCTGATAATCATGAGCTCTGGAGGCTAGCAGTGAAAAACCCCCCAAAGACTGGCTTTGAATTTTATTAAAAATGCTACTTGCTCATCTTCTGAGTCCTTTCTGAGTTCTGCTGATTTTTGTGGCTGTCAGGAGGTGAAATGATGAACAGTTTCATAACAGAACTAGATTCCTGTTTTAGTAATATTTAACTCTACTTTCCCAAGGGTTGGTAGTTTGCAGCTGTGAAAGTCTTCTAGTCTCTGGCAGTTGTGGGAAGAAGGCACTGGTTCAGACTTTGTGCTGTTTTCAGCTTCTCTCTCTCTCTCTCTTTCTCTTTCTCCCCCCGCCACCCCTCTCTCATTCTCTGGAGCAAGTGAATTTCACCTTCTTACTATCAGACTTTGGTACAGACTGTCAGCTGCAATGAAACTTACTTGTACTTGCAATGCATGACCTGGAAATTCTCACTTTCTGTTTATGGCCCTTCCAGCTGTTCATTTTCTCCCTTTACACACATGAGCACTGTTCAACTTTATTACTTTATTATTCCACTTGGGCTTTACTGGGGAAGTTTAGCTGTGAGGGAATATACATTACTGGTGAGCTAGAAATGTATCTTTAAGGAATGGATTTGAAACCAGTGACTTCAGGCTTAGTGCAATAAGAAAAATTGAGGCCATTTTTTGACTTTGTTGAAACATACAGTCCTGAAATCTGCCACCCTTATCATCAAATGATTTTGAGCCATGAAAGCTAATCATAGCAAGAAATGAAAATTATAAATAGATTTAACCAGGGGTTGGCAAGCTATGGCCTATGGGCCAAATCTGCCTTGCTGACTGTTATGGTACAGTTTGTAAGCTAAGAATGGTTTCTGTATTTTTAAATGGTTCAAAAAAATCAGAAGATGAAGAATATGAAATTAAAATTTTTAGTATCCATAAATAAAGTTTTCTGGGGCACACACATGCTCATTCATTTATGTGCTGTCTATAGCCCTATTTGCTCAACAATAGCTAAGTTGCATTGATGCCACAGAAAAATTATGGTATGCAGAGCCTAAAATATTTCCTGTCTAGCTCTTTGCAGAAAAATTTTACTGACTCTCGAGTTAAACAAAGCCTTTTCTTATTTTCTTTATCATTATCAGCACACATGTAGCCACATGTATACCCAAATATGCACATCTAATTGAGCATATTATGTACTCAAATTCACTAATTCACATTCCCAATTAATGTAGATCTTATCTTTAGAGAAACTTCTGATCTTAAATTATTTATGTAACTGTTGGAAATCTACTATTAGAAGTAAACATAATTGTCCTACCAGTATTTTTTGCACTTGGGAAAATCATGCATGCTTATTCTTTGGTCATTAAGTTTACTTGTTTGCAGGTCGGAGCATGGAGAGTTACTTGTTAGGGTTATGCCTGCCTACCATAAGGCTTTAAACTTCTAGTTCAACACTGATGGAAAAAGAATGTCCAGTACTACTTGGAGAGCTTCTACCAGTGTGTGCTGGTGAACTGATAATCAAGTCAACGGGAGAATGCCTAGTATTTCCTTACAGTATACTTGAGCCATCTGGT